GGAATGCACAGTTTATTTAAATGTGCCTACTACACCATCAAATTCCCAAGTTATTGGAAAAAACACATTATGATTATTTGAATTTAAGAACAAGAGATGCCAAGTTGTTCTACATCATGCCAGGTGTGATAATTCTTTAATATTTCTGTTTGCAGACTTTAAGAATATGATGCTAACTGTAGATTCTGTACTTAGAAATACTTAGAAATACACATATCACTCACCTACAGAGTCCCATTCTGTAAGTAGTATGCCACACTTTTCACTGTTGTAACAAAATACTTGACACAAACAACCTTAAAGAGGAGATTTACTTTGGCTCACAGTTTCAGGGGTTAATTCTGAGATCCAGAGCACCATGACCACAGAAGCATGTAGTAGAGACCATTTATCTCCTGTCAAAAAGTAAGTAAATGGAAGGGCAGCCAGAGGGAGGAAGAGGAAAAGGAAACAGGAACAAGAGAGGAAAGAAGAGGGAAAGCCCAATAGACCAATTCAAGACGAGATATAGCCCCAAGAAACTTATTTATTCCAGATAGAACCATGTCCTAAAGTTTCTAGAATCTCCATAAAAAGTACCACTAGCTGAGGAAAAAGCCTTTATAACATGAGCTTTTTGGAGAAGACTTTTTACCCATGCCACTGCAACTAGTTATAGCCCTCAAAATGGAAGCCAATTAACCACATTATAATATACCATATCAGACTGCCATAAAATATTTCTTGCTTTTGAGCCTGTTTTATTTTAGTTTAAGGCTCAATCTCTGTCTTGTTTTTTGTTATTCGTGGTGGGTGGTGGTTGTTTGATTTTCAGGACTTTATTGTTTAGATTTCAGTCTTTTTAGCTTAAGAGAAGACTACTGCAAACCTCCTTGTGTAAATTTTTTGACTATGCCTACAATATACAATATACATACTTCAAAATACAATAGTTAGAGACTGTCTTCTCTATTTCACAGGCAATCAGTGAAGTTAAACCAATGAATTTATCTTAGACCCATATAAATAAAACCTCAGTTTCTCTTACAGACTCCAACCTTCACTTAATACTTACCACAGAATTCCTCATTTGTTCATTTGTACATCACTCTCCCAGAAAGACAGGAAATTTTCTACATTAATGCTTTCTACTATTCCTTGAAAGTTAGATGTTATGAAACCTATTTTCATAGCAATGGTTCATGGCTTTTTTTTTGCTTATGTTTTAAATTATTTAATTTTTAAGGTCCTGCATACCTATTTGTGTACGTTTGTTGTTACGTGCAGGCACTATTTTGTAACTTGATCTTAGGCATAACTTCACGTAACTGGAAGCATCTAAAATACTATGTAATGATTTCTAGCACCTCAGACAATCTTATCACCTTAGAATGTAGTCACTGGGTCTTGAGGATTTAACTATACATTGGTGATGGAAACAAAGCTTCGCTCAAAAACACTCATTCCACTGTGGTTTCCCGTGTTTTAATGCATTGTTCATTCTGTCATCAGTGCTTAAGTAAATGCTTAAAATGGAATTAAATTAAAAATTAATCCCCTCTGCTCCTTTGCCTTTTGAAATAACCTTTTCTTCCTGTTAGAAGGCTAATATTCCCTCGGGTCCTTTTTGTGGTCTTATACGTGGCTAGACGGTTTGCAAAAGGTCCATACTTTATACAAATACATTGTGCTTCCTTATCTGTTTACTCTTCCTCAGAGTTGTTGCCATTTCTTTTAACTGTTTGGAAAGAATAAGTATTGTCACCTTCTGCTTCTGTGATATAGTTGTTTAAAGCTAAGCTCCGAGGACTTTGCTCAATTATCTCAATTTACTCACATCTGAGGGAAGAGGCATTTTCCTCTTATCTGTGGCTTCTCCCTTCATGGATTCAACGAAGAGTGAACAGAAAATATTTGAAATAACTTGCATCTTTACCAAGCATGCACATTTTTTCTTGTCATTATTCTATAAATTATACAATATTGCTCATATATATATGACACTGACATCTATTAGGTATCATAGGTAACTCAAATGATTTGAAATACATGGGAGAATGTACACAGGTAGGTTATATGTAAATACTGTGCCACTGTTTAAGGACTTAGCTTCTTCTGTGGTATCTGTGGCGGATCCTGAAGCCAATTCTTACCAATACTGAGGAGCAATGGTGTCTCAGTTAGGGTCACGATTGCTGTGATAAAATGCCATGTCCAAAAACATGGGCATCACTTTTCATCATCAAAGGAAGTCAGGACAAAAACTCAAACAGGGCGGGAGCCTGGGGACAGGAGATGATGCAGGCCATGGAGGGGGGATGCTTATTTATTGACTTGCTCCTCATGGTTTGTTCACTCTGCTTTCTTATAGAACCCAGGACCACCAGCCCAGAGATGGCACCACCCACAATGGGCTGGGCTCCCACCCCCACCAATCCCTAAAAAAATGCCTTGTAGGCTTTTCTATATCTTATGGAGGTATTTTCTCAATTGAGGCTTGTGTCAAGGTGACACAAAACTAGCTAGTAAAATGGTATTTAGTTTTCATTAAATATACATGATTTCTGGGAGGTACAGACTTCTTCTACTGGGAAAAACAGTTTCCTAAGGAAAACAGGGGTCACAAAGTGAACTTTCCCCAAACTTCTCTACCAGCAATGTCTCTTTTCTCTCTGCTTGCTTCTGCTTCCCAAAGCTTACCTATCCCAGATCTGGACTGCAGATATTTCTGCCTTCTTGGGGATATTATTTATTAATTCCTCCTTTTCTTCTAAGTTTGAAATGTTGTTGTACTCATGGGCTCTTCTCTTTTAATATTAAAGTATGTTCTTGCTTTTTCTCCCATCTTGAAAAGAAAACATTTCTTCAGTCATATACCCTCTACTTTCTTTCCCCTCGGGATTCATTTTCAAACAACACTTAACAGTGTCAAAAACTTTTGTCTCCAAACTTATTCTTCTCCCTGTATCTGTTGGGGGTGGGGTGGGACGCACCACCTACCCCTCTAAATCAGAACTTCGGACTTTTTTTTTTCTTTCTACTTCTGTTCTCCCTCCATATTCAATCTAAGTACTTCCTATTTCAGTTTGGAAATAAGTTCTTTGTCCACTCAGTCACCAGTGCCCTTTGTTGTAGCTGTCTTTCCCTCCTAGGTGAAATATGCTCCCTTAACCGGTTGGTTCTTTCTTCCCTTCCTTCTTACTGTCCAGAGTGACGTAGTCTTAAATACACCTGATAATGACTTCTAAACAATTCAACAATTATTTCCAGTATAAAATCTAAACTCTTGGTCTGGAGAGATAGCTCATTGGTTAAGAGCACTGGATTGCTCTTCCAGAGGTCCAGAAATCAGTTCCTAAAAAGTGAAAAGATTGTTCTTCCTTAAACTAAACACTACCAAGCACCAACAGTCTCTGTCATTTTCCCCAAGTGTGACTTCCTTTTACAGGTACTGTGAGATAAACCTGGAATCCAGACTATTCTGGCCCTTCATGAGCAGTCATGTAACCTTGAGAAAATTACTTAATTTCTGCATAACCCAGCTCCCCCTATACCCTGCCACCGACCAGTAAAATCTGGGAGGTAAAATATCGGATTGCTCTTTAGACTGACAGCTAAGGGAGCTCCGTTGGCCTGGTGACGATACGTGGTGCATGCTAAACGTTAATTGTTCTCTACCCTCCCCCATCAATTAGGACTGTGGGCACCCTACAGTGTGGTTTTCTACTTTGTGGGAGAAAACTGCTCTCTGCATTGCTAGTTAAAGAAACGAAATCTGGAAGTTCCTGTCTTGTGATGGGAGAAAACAAGCCAAATGGGAGTTGCTGGCTCCCAGCTTTTCTGAACTGAGAGTTTGGTCCTCATTTTACGTATAAGGGAATTGAAGGATGACGTGTCCTCGGGTCTCATGCAAGACACAGTCACAACTCTTTATTGAGAGTAAGGCGCGAGCCCCAGGGTTGCTATGGCCAAGTTGCAAGCGAAAACGTAACACTGGGAAGACAGAAGAGCACTTAGCCACACACAACCGGCTAAGTCCGGTGCAACTTACTTGGGTGAGCAAAGGGAAGCTGTCAAACATGGAGAAACCAAACTGCTGACAAAACCAACTCTCCACCAGGCCGGGCCTTCGGGGCCTGCCTTGAAGGGCGGCCTCGAGTAACAAACTGCCGCAGCTCCCAAGTAGGAGCCCGACTCCGCGCAACTCAAGATGAATGGAAACCAGAGTCCGCGCCGCTCAGCTTGAGGGACGGGGCGGGGCTTTGTGAGTCACGTGCCTGGGCCGTAGGCGGGTGCGTGGAGGGAAGTTCAGGTCTGATTGGCTACCCGTCACCAGGTGACCGCGGAGCGCGTTCCGGTTGGCAGGAGCCGGCTAGCGGCCTTCAGTCCGGAGGCGGCGACGGAAGGAGGAGGAGCTCCGGCCGCGCTCTCGGCCCGCAGTGGCTGCGTCTCCCAGCGCTTGTCGGGTCCCCACCCCTTTTAAATA